TTGAAGCTCATAAATAAAGTTCTCTATAAATGAAATAGGGGAGTAGTTTGTTAGCTGGTTAAAGAGTTTGCTAACACTGGCTCTCTCGATCGAGCATACTTACGTGAATTGGCCCGTTGTGATACTTAAAGGGAAGGCTTATGAAAGAGATTCCTCTCATCACTCCAGACGTTGAAACCATTTTGTTTGGCTGCATACCATACAACGTTTCGAACGGCCACAACATGTGCAAGTGGGATGGATACCGAGTATAAAAGGAGAAAACAACATGCAGATGAAGCAGACAAAAAAAAAGAAAGAGGCCGAGATGCGTGAACGTGAAGAGCTTGCAAAGCTGGCTGACAAGATTTTAGCTTCTACAAAAATATACGGCCACTTACAGAAGGTTTCCGACCGAAGCAAACCCTTGTGGGACCCAGGGAGGTTATCTGGTGACTGATATCGATAGTATACTGAAAGGCCCGACTCCCCAAATCGATGACGACGGAATATAAGTTTCATTGTCCGAATATGAAACAGTTAGCAATCGTCCGCTTGAAAAACAACAATGTGGCTTCGGCCTATGGCTTGCCGGTCAAGCTATTCAAATACAGCGTGAGGAACTGACAAGGTGCATGCATCAGCTACTTTGCAGAAAATAGGCCTGACGTAAGCAATTTAAGTGTGCTTTGTCCAATTCACCAAAAGATCGATTACACAGCGGCAGTACATAGAGAGTTTGAGCTGCCGGTCCACAGTTCCCTTACATCAAGTTGCTGATGAGTGCTATCAGGAGAAAATCCTTCAGCTGTTTGTTGTGATTGAAAATTTTCGACGTCGAACTTTTCTTGTGTTTGTTGCTGCGACTAATCTGATCCGAGTTGGTGTTAGGAGCGTGGAGCGTACGCACATCTAAAGCATTCGAGTGTTTCATAACATGATCGATCTGGTTGAGAGTTATTCGATTTGGAGACAGCCAAGTAGCTTGGTGAATTTTCTTTTGCTTGAATTTAGTGCTGCAGTTAACCATTTCCAGCAGTTGCACCGAAGATAACTTCCTTGACCATGCTGGCATTAAAGTCATCAAGCACAATTTTGACACCGTGGCGACGGCAGGGCTCATATGTGTGCTCAAGGCGCTCGTAAAAGGCATCATTGTCCTTCTCTTACGTCCGGCCGAGGGCGCAAATCAGTGCAGTGTTAAACAATTTGGTTTCAATGTGGATTGTGGCGAGACGTACATCCGCCGGCGTGAATGTCTCTCTCCAACCACGGATCCGACACCAAATCTGCGCTCCCTTATATAGTCGCTGTAGTAAATGTCACAAGGACTCACCTTCTGCCGTTTTTGTCCCGTGCAGTGCGGAGCCGGACATTGCAGCTGCAGCCCTCAAATCGTAGTCCTTAAAACATTTGCGGAGGAGTCGTCAACAATAGAGTATTCGCTCGTCCGAGGCACATATTGTTTATTCATTGGGTTTGTTTATCAAGTGCTGGATCCCAAACTCTACGCATAACCGCATGGGATTTGTCTTCACACTTTAGCTGGCCTCCAAGCGGATGTTTGTTGGCTACCCAGGGAATACTTGGTCTAAGATCGGAAGTCATGAGCTGCTTGAACGATCAACCAAAGAATCGCAATGACCAGATATTCAACATAAATCAAATTTTGGAAGAGACCTCTTTAAAAAGGAACGACACTCAACACTTTTTCATTTTAAAGCTGCCTTTGATAGCACGAAAAGAAGCTACCTCTATGAGTCACTATGTCTGAATTTGGTATCTCCGAAAAAAATTTTGACGCGAAGGTGACAACAACAAAGGTGAACTGTCATTATCGCAGTTTCGACTCGGCTCCCACGTCACTCTGGACAGTCTCAACTTCTCTTGACACTTCGGACTGAGTAAGCAATTGGAAAGTAAAGTCAACTCTCGACGAACAAAGACCGAACGATAATTTTTTTTTGGTTGAGCTGAATGGTTGAATCACTAATTTTATTCTAGCGAGTTGGTTGCCTTTGTTCACCACAAAAAAAATGGAAAAAAACATTGGCCTTCTGATATTAATTTTCTATAAAAAAATTTAGAAATGCCAATTTACCATTATGAATGAAAGTAATGACTAACTTCTTTAACCATGTATGTATGTATGTATATAAGAGCAGCTTTTACAGCTAATTCCAAACAACCAGAAATTTCCGATGTTCAAAAACCCACTCAAAACGGAAGTGGACCGGAAACAAACGCGTTTGATTTCGGGGAATCGTTTGAAATTATTAAGCCGCGCATAATTCTACTGCTTTCTAAAATGTGCGTAAATTTAATTATTACATACATACTTACATACAGACATATAAAAATGTAAATAGTATATATGTATGTACGTTTGCTTATTATTCAATTAGTATTCCAAGCTGCACTTCATGGCGTGTAGAGAATCTTCGCTTATATTGTTTAGAGTTTCACCACAAAATGCAATAGAAGACCTTCTTTCTGTTCTTCTGTCTTCTTCTGCCCGTGCAACAACAATTTAGCGTTTCTCTGTCTTTTTCCACTTTTAGTAAAATGTCATTTGAGTTAACTAATAGTGCACAAGTCAATTACCGCCGCCTTATGATGATAATTGAGCGGAATTCATTGGAATTAATGATTATGAATGCGGACAGCGACACCAACATACGGCACAGCGCAACGCAGCGAAGTCGCATGCAGACGGATGTGCAATAATTAAAGTGACCATATTCAAATAATAAGTTTTTTTTCCTTCCTGAAATGGGTAAAGCGTAGGCGTAGTTGTGAATGAGAAAAATTGTGAAATGAAATGAAATGAAAATTAAATTGCAATTATTTTGAGAAGACAGAGCATATGTAGGAAGCTATACAAATTTCTTATGATTATTTCTTAAAATCTTTTTGCTTGTATAAAAATGTTAAAATTCTTAGGTTAAACCAATTATACTCTCCGTATTGAAGTCTTGACAACTGTGAGGTGTATGAAAACTATCTCTCTGTCAAAGTGGCCACACCTACAGCCAGTTTTGTCAGATAGGGCTATTTAGTGCACATTTCGCTATTAAATTTACTAAAAATTTGTCCGTCTCATATATGCCCGGTTATGATGGGCCTACTTTAAGACTAGATACGCGCTGAGGGCAGGCTACTTTTGAGAGAATTTTTTTTGCATAAATCCTAAAAATTATCTGATAGTTTTGACACTTTTTTGATATAATATTATATTATTGGTAGGAAGCATTTTAAAGTCATTGTTTTCTTCTTCTTCTTAAAGATTTGAAGCCAAAAAATATATATATTTTTAATACTCGGTGGCTATCTTCGAGATCGAAGTAAGTTTTAAAATTTTCCAGTAGTAAAATGTTACTAATTCGCACCGCGGGAATATAAATTTTTCTCACAATAGTGAAAAAAACTTTTTCACCATAATAATTTTAAATTTTTTAAATGTGTTTTTTCGCCATGGTAAAAAAGTTTCTTCATCATAGTAAAAACTTTTTTTTACCATAATAAAATATTTTTCACCATAGTAAATGCGTTTTTTCATCATATTAAAAGCGTTTTTTCATCATGGTAGAAAAGTTTTTTCACCATAGTAAATATGTTTTTTCACCATAGCATAAACGTTTTTTCACCAAAGAAAAAAATTTTTAACAACAGAAAAACGGTTTTAGAACAACATTTTTTCCTCATAGAAAAACTATTTTTCACCATATGAAAAAAATTTCACCACCGAAAAATTTCACCAAAGAATAAAGTTTTTTTTTTGCCACAAAAATTTTCTGCTCAAGATTACAGCAGCTAAATACATTTTTAAGTTTCCCGTAAATATAATATGTAGCATAATTTTGTATGTACATCTGGTAACACTTGCCTTTTTAATAAAGAAAACTCAACCAGGAAATGCAATGGAAATAGGACCATGAAAATTAATAATTTATGCATTAATGTGTATATTCGTATATTAGTTTTTCAAAGAGTTCTTAAAAGAAGTATTTAAATAAAAAAAAAAATTGAGCATAAAAAAATATTTGCAAAAAAATACTTGAATTTATGTACAAAATCACTTTTCTTATTCATAACGGTTTAATAATGAAATCTTTATGTCAAAAAGGAAAACTGGACTTCATATTATTAGTAGAAGGAAAACAACCTTGCGATCGTCCACAACACAAACGTGGTGGGATAGATACCGAGAGCTGAAGAGAGAAGCAAGACAGACCAGAACAACTTCTTATAGTACCCAGGGATGTTATATAGCGACTGATGTCCAGAGCATAGTTAATGTAAAGAGAGAACATTCCCAAGGAAATGGCGAACCTATGGAATCAATGCCGATCGGACAAATTTCGAATAGCAATTTCATATCGCAGACGATGGAACGATGAGCTGTACGAACTATACGATAATATTGACATAGTTCATCGAAAGAAGAGACAGCTTCTACGCTGACTAGGTCATGTCATGTTGTCCGAATGAATAAAAGCTCTCCAGTTTTGAAAGACTTTGACGTAGTACCCGCCGGTCGAAGCAAAGGAAGATGAAGACCTCAACTCCTTTCGAAAGATCAGGTGGAGTAGGACATGGTCCCACTTGTTATTTCTGGGCAGCTAAGAAACGGAATAAACGGTGTTCTGTTTTTAATATGTCTATAATCACGTAACAATTTCTGGTTTGTGTCTTAATGATTTTCTAACAAATAGAGAAGTATATTTTGAGCCGTCTCTGATTTTTATGAGAAACCTTTTTGCCACATGTCAGCAAAACACTTGGAAGGGGTAAACAGTCCCTGGAGAGGAGTGACCACAATTAGAAAAATAAACTTAGATTTTAATTTTAATTGATTTTCTAAAATTTAATGTTAGTCGGACCAGAACTAGAAACTTGGTCTTCCGAATAGCAGTACCCATTGCTAACCATTCAGAAGACATACACACTGTTAATTTGGTTCTTAATGGAATATAATCTAGTCGCTACATATGTATGCTATATAATTTCGGCTTTAGTTGATCATTCCCAAATTTGCGCGAATACATTGACAACCGCTTTCCAGTCATTATATGCACCAACTACAATCTTCACGCGATATTCTCCAGCTGGCACCGGCAGCAAGCTAAAATACTTTGGCATTAAAATCAGTTTATCCACAATGATATCATGCTGAAATTAAAAGGAAAAAGTAAAATCGAAAAGTGTTATTAAAACCGGCCGAAAATCACTCACATATGAGGGGATTAACAAAAGTTCGCTCAGTTCGTAACTTTCAATTTGTTTCTGTTAAACTTAAAAAATACCAAATCCTTTGCAATTACTTTATTGGTCTTCCTCTCAAAGCTTTAAACGATCGGCTGAAATGGAGACGAGAAAACGAAAGATGGCTGAGGATAGGTCAGACGAAATTCCACCACCAACGCAAACAGAAATTCGCCATGTAATTCTCTTCGGGTTTCATCTTAATTCTTAAAGACTGTTTCTAAGTGGTTCTGAAGCTTCCAGGCCGGACATTTTTCCGTAGAGGAAGAACCCCGAGAAGGGGACCAAGTTCTTCCACTGATTACTTCACTGTAGCACTGGTGAAGTCCAAAATTGATGAAGACCCACGATTGATACAAGATCGCGAATATTAAATAATCATCTGGGATAGACAAAGAAATCTGCTTGTTGGGTACCATGAATTTTAAATGAGACCCAAAAAGAAGCTCGAGTGCATTCTGCTCAATTTTTCGTAAACAAATTCGGTAGCGGCCAGTCTAGCAACTTGAGGAAAAGTCATTACTGATGCCGAAACTTGGTTCTATAAGTACGATTCAAAAACCAAACAGCAGTCCATGGTATGGAGCCCAACAGAAGCCAACCCAACCGTAAAATCTAAGCAACAAAAATCAGCAGCAAAAGTAATAATGTCAGTTTACTTCACTCGAACAAAAATCGTAGATTCAACTGGGAAAGAGTCAAACGGTAACTGCAAATGGTAACCCGAAGAGTGATTACCAAAATTTTTCAAAACTTTGTTGGAAAACAGAAAGAAAATAACGAGTAATTTTTTTATATTGATCTCTGGGATTGAAGAAATGTGTCCAGCAACATATTCCAACGGATACAGCTCTTTGAGATTTCTGATTTCTGGTTAATTATAAAAATTAAAAAAAAAAAAAATTAAAAGGAAAGGTCCTTAATAGCAACGAGGATATAATTAATGCGGTTAATGCTGAACTTGATAAGCATAAAAAGCATGATTTTGAAGACTGCTTTCAGAAGTGCATCTATAGGCTTAAGAAATGCATTAAAATCAATAGCTATTATGTAGAGAAGATAGAAAAGGACAAGGATTACGAAAAAAAAACAAAAAGAATTAGACTTTTTTTTTTTGGTTAACTTACCGAACTTTTGTGAATCCCCTCGTATATGTTTAATTATAATTTTCCCTATATTTATTAATAAATATGTAGTTAGATTCAATACTCACATCAAATGGGCAGGTGTGATTGATATTTGAATATTTTTCTAAGAATTGAAACATGATATCCAAAAAGGCGATACGTTTTTTGTGGCGCATAAAATCACAAAAATTCGTGGTGACATTTACGAGGAATGGTCGATAGCCATTATATTTTTTGAAGCTTTCCACATTCAACTGTAAGTATTCAAAAACTTATACTCATTTCAATTAATGTGTTTCGATAATTGTTTTTTCACTTACGCTCATATTATTCACCGGCACTTGAAGGAGCTTAAAGCGCAGCGAAAGCGCAACCTTATCACGGGATAAAGCCTTGAGCTTGCAGTAGGCGAAATCAGCAAAGGGTTTATCGAGCGCGACGCATTGCAGATTGGTGAATTTAATCCTCGATACACACTGGATGGTGTGGAGACGAAAAACGAGCACGAAAGTCAGTATTATGAATACCTGTGAGCAACACATTTTATCAAATGATTTAAATATTGCTAATTATTTGAGTGCTAATGTATAAAGCAATTTAGAAAAAAGTTAAAAACACTTAACAATTATTTTTAGAAAATATATTTATATGTATATGTGTGTATGTGTGTGTGTGTTTAAAAAGTAATATTTAATTTAGTACGAATATGGTGAGAATATATTCACCTATACGCCTGTAGTGTGACGCTGCAGAATGCATTAAGCCATATCGATCAGCTTGCGCCATAAATCAAGCTCTTAAATTCACAAGCATTCACACGCGATTATAGCCGAGTCAGTAATCATTTCTTCTATTTGTCGTTCAATGGAAATTGGAAGTGAAGCCAGTGGTCTCTCCATCTGATCATATAGAGCACATCGTTCCAGTGTCAATGGTTTCCGCCGTCCTGCCGTCATTCCCTTACTAATTTCTGAGCAGCCTTGTCTGAAAGCAAGTTCAGTATCGAAAAGCTCGTAGAGCTCTGAGGGGACTTATCCTACCATAATTAGACTACCCACCAGCCCGTCTAATGGTTTTAGCAATCAGATTCTGGTTATTGTTCATGCTTTCCCCCTACTTCGTCTGCCATGGAAGCTGAGGAATGTGTTTTATCACTTTTTCGATATTCATTTTGCATACGTGTTTGTCACTAAAGAACAAAACCCCAACAATATTTTGGTGCGTCCAAGAGTGCACGTAAGGCATGCCTGTCTGAGACGATTTTAATCCAAGTTCTTTGCTCCGCCACGATGTGAAAATTGTGCTTGGTGACTTTAAGGCGGTGAAGTACACTTCAAGTATCTGCATGCATAATATGGTCAGACGAAAGCATGCCCGAAGATTGGATCCTAGATGTGCTGCGCCAAAACTACAAAAAGGCGATCCCACGTCTGAGCCAATTATCGTGGGATAAGCCTTCTTAATAACGCATATGAGGTACTATCGAGCTTATCGTATGAAAGACTAAAAGACTAAGACTCCCTGGCAATGATCTGATTGTACCTTATCAATGTGACTTCAGAATTGGGGAATCCACCATCGACTAGATATTCACCATGCGCCAAATATAGGAAAATATCCTGAAGTGAGGATCGGCACAAACCACCTGTTCGTCTATTTTGAAAGAGCCTTCGATTGCACGAAAAAGAGCTTACTTTTCAGCGTTATGTCTGAGTTCGGTATCGCCGCAAAACATATATGCCCTAAGCTCCAAAAGCTTCTTAAGGATCGAGAAATTCCGCCCCGAGTTGTTAGATACCAAACAGGGTCTCCGATAATGTGATTCGTGATTTCGTGTGACTCCTTTAATTTATTGTTGGAGAAAATATTAGGAACTGGAAAGCCGAATAGAGAAGGTGCCATTTTCTATAAGGTGCACATCTGCTTTCCCCAGACTGAATAAGGTAGCGAAGGATATGGGTTAACGAGGGCAAGCCGAAATATCTCCAGTCATAAAACAAACAATCGTCACATTTGTGCCTCGGACCCGTGTCACTATGGATAACCATAACTTTTGAGTCGAAGACAATTTCGTTCATCTTGTAATCGGTATTAACACCAACAGCAATGTCAGCCTTGCGATCCAATGTAGAATCACACTTGCCAACAGGTGCACACTTCGGACCAAGTAGACAATTGAAAGTCGAACCAAAATTAAGCTCATCACTCATCATTTCTGTTCTACTATAAGATGCAGAAGCGTGAACGATGATGACATGCGATTAGCCGGTCTTGGGAGTCTTTGAGAAAATTTTTGAGAACGATTTATGATCCCTTGGGCATTGGCAAAAACAAATATTGATGTACGAACTATACGATAATATTGACATAGTTCATCGAATGAAGAGGACCTGGAGTGCGCGTTAATGTTTTTTCTACAAATAGAGGGACCTAGAGTTTATTCTTTTGCTTCATGTCAGAAATACACTTAGAGGGGTAGAAATACCTTGCGGAGTGGTGATCCCAATTAGAAAAATAAACATAATTTTTTTTTTTAATTCATTTTCTATAATTTAATGTTCGTCGGCCCAGGGCTGGAATCCTGGGCTTCCAGTAGTGGTTACATATGTTTTATAAACTCGGCACTGGTTCATTATTCCCAAATTTGCACGAATATATTGACAACCGCTTTCCAGTCATTGTACGCGCCCACTACAATCCTCAAGCGATATTCTCCAGCTGGCACCGGTAGCATGCTAAAGTACTTTGGCATTAAAATCAGTTTATCCACAATGATATCATGCTGAAATTGAAAAGAAAAAGTGAATTAAAAAGTGTTATTAAAGCAGGCCGAAAATCACTCCACATACATATGTATCTATATATTTAATTACAATTTTCTATTAATTTTTATTAATAAATATGTATGCATTTAGATTCAATACTCACGTCAAATGGGCAGGTGTGATTGATATTTGAATATTTTTCTAAAAATTGAAATATGATATCCAAAAAGGCGAGACGTTTTTTGTGGCGCAGAAAATCACAAAAATTCGTGGTGACATTTACGAGGTATGGTCGATAGCCATTATATTTTTTGAAACTTTCCACATTCAACTGTAAGTAGTAAACAACTTGTATTCATTTCAATTAATGTCACATGTGTGTATGTATGTATTTATTTCGATAATTGTTTGTACTCACGCTCACATTATTCACCGGCACTTGAAAGAGCTTGACTCGCAGTGAAAGCGCAACCTTATCGCGGGCTAAAGCCTTGAGCTTGCAGTAGGCGAAATCAGCGAAAGGTTTATCGAGCGCGACGCATTGCAGATTGGTGAATTTAATCCTCGATACACACTGGATGGTGTGGAGATGAAAAACGAGCAGGAAAGTCAGTAATGTGAATGCCTGTGAGCAGCACATTTTGTAAAATGATTTAAATAATGCAATTATTTTTGTGGTATTCGTTTTGTCCAAAAGCAATTTGAAAAAGAGTTGAAAATTTTTATCAATTATTTTTAGAAAATTGATTTATATACATATGTATGCATGTATGTATCAACAATTTAGTGCGAGCATGGTGCTAATATATGATATATGTAAATATTTTTCAAATCATATAGTGTGACGCTGCAAAGCTCATTAAGCTATTTCTATCAACTTACGCAATAAATCAAGTTGCTAAGTGCGTAAGCACTCATATTCGATTATAGTCGAGTCAGTAATCATTCTTCTATTTGCCGTACAACGAAAATTGCAAGTGAAACCGGCCGTGTCTTCATCTGATCTTTTCAACGGAGGACCTGCACTTCGTCTCTCTTCGTCTGACTTCACTGGTTTGTACTGGATTAAAACCAGAAAACAAAGGGCATAACCTAGCTGGCCTAGTCGTAATTTCTTAATTCGCTGAAATATGTCAATGATATATGCATCAGCTCTGCTCTGCCCATACAACAAAAATGCTATCGAGCGCATTGTGTGAAAGACTAAAGACTAAAACCCCCTGGCAATGATCTGAACGTCAATTATAAATGTAACTTTAGACCTTTTGAATCCACCATTGACCAGATATTTATCATGCGCCAATAATTAAACAATATCCGTGAAGTGAGGGTCGGGACAAACCACCTGTTCGTTGATTTTGAAACATCATTCGAGAGCACGAAAATGAGCTAACTTTACGCCAGCATGTCTGGGTTCGATATCGTCGCAAAACAAATATGCCCTAAGCTCCAAAAGCTTCTTAAGGATCGAGAAATACCGCCCCAAGTTGTTCCATACCAAACAGAGTTTCGAATAATGTGATTCCTTCTCGTGTGACTTCTTTAATTTATTGTTGGAGAAAATATTAAGAACTGGTAAACCGAATAGAGAAGGTGTAATTTTCTATTAGGTGCGCAGCACCAAGATTTTTGCTTTCTCCAGACTGAATAAGGTAGTGATGGATATGCTTTTACGAGGGCAAGGCGAAGTATCTCCAGTCATAAAACAAACAATCGTCACATTTGTGCCTCGAACCCGTGTCACTATGGACAACTATAACTTTTAAGCCGAAGATAACTTCCTCTATCTGGGAAGCAGTATTAATACCAACAATAATGCCGCTTGAAAATTCAACACAGAATCACTCTTGCTAACAGTTGTTACTTTGGACTGAGTAAGTAATTGAAAAGTGCAGTCCTTTCTCGACAAATAAATGCCAAACTCTACAAGTCGCTTAACGTACCAAGCGGAGGCATGGGCGATGACAACATCTGATGAGTGGTAGTTAGGAGTTTTCAAGAACATGGTTTTGCGTAAGATTCATCGTCCTTTACAAGTTGGCAAATGCCGCAACTGATGGAACGATGAGCTGTATGAGACACACTGTGACAGTGACATAGCTCAGGGAATCAAGAACAGCAGCTACATTGGCTAAGGCATGAGGTCTGTATGGATGTGAATACTCCAGCTTTCATGGTTTGCGTTGCAGTGCCCGCCGGTGAATTCAGAGGAAGAGGAAGGGCTTCACTCCGTTGTAGAGAAGGACCTGGCTGTACTTGGTTTCGCCAATTGGTGTCTCATAGCGAAAAGAAAGAATAATCGATGCAATGTTGTTTACTCGGCTATAATAGCGTAAGCCCTGTCTGTCCCAGTGAAGAAGATTCCACTTGATTTGGATCATCGTTACGCTACAGCAGAAGCAAAATACAAGGCACTCGTTGTATTCGTTCACCTGATCTTACCTAAATGTATTTGTCTTCCAAATAGCAAATAAACAGGAGGTCTCCTAGTTTCTTTGAACTATTTCGTCGTTCTGGTGTTATCTGCTGGGCTACATGTATTGACGTGAGCTCAAAACAGCCATCAAAGGAATCTTTTCCTGTCGGTGAAAGGTTAAAAATAACATTCCAAATCTTGTCGCAGAGAATAACCGTGATTTAGTACAACCTGAACACTAATAAATACATTTAATAATGTAAAAGTTATTCTAAAAACTTTAAATAATAAAAATTATACGAGTATTTTTCGCTCTGAAGCTATTTTCAGATAAATTTCAATTTAATGACCTGATAAAGAATATCATTCATTCCCAAATTTGAAAGTATACATTTACAATCGCCTTCCAATCATTGTAAGCGCCAACTACAATCTTCAAACGATATACCCCACTCGGTAAAGGCATTTGAGCGAAATGTTTTGGCGCCAAGATAAGTCTATCCACAATAATGTCATGCTGAAATGACAAATATTATGTGATTCAAAAACATATTACATAACCTCAAATTTTGTGTACTGGTACTTACGCCATACGGGCAGGTGTGATTTATATTTGAAGCCTCTTCCAAAAATTTGAATATAATATCCAGAAACAGGACACGTTTTTTATGTCGTAGAAATTGGCAAAAATCCGTTGTTATATTGAAGAGAAATGGACGAAAACCGTTGAACTTTTTGTAGAATTGCAAGTTTAACTAGAATAAAATATAAAAAATCATTCCTTTATCGTATAGCCATTTAGTATATAGGAAATATGAAATTCTCCTTCTATAACTTTGGTACTCACGCTCACATTATTCACCGGCACTTGAAAGAGATTTACCCGCAGGGAGAGCGCAACCTTATCACGGGATAAAGCCTTAAGTTTGCAGTGGTGAAAATCAGCGAAGGGTTTATCGAGTGGGACGCATTCGAGGTTCGTAAACTTTATGCTCGATACACACCCGCTGATATCGAGACGAAAGCCAAATACGAATGCTATAATAATGAATAATTGTGTGCTGTTCATTTTGTTTAGTGAAGAAAACATCAAACCTACATCCAAAGCGAATATTAATATTTTATTGATGCTGATTGATTTATAATAACCAATGTTTAATGACTGTCACTAATTTTGACTTCGATTTCAACATAACCGCTAATTTTGTATAAAAAAAAAAAGTTAACTAAGATCTCAGCAGTTACTACAGCCGGCAGCAACGATGTATAACAGAGATGGTCCGCAACTTGATTCTTTATCACACAACTCGTCATTCGGACTGCAGCAATAAATGCTGTCGGCTCGATTGCAAGAGACTCTGAAATGGAACTGTAGCAGATCTCTTAAGGAGTTGGCTGAATAGAACTCACTACTCACCGTTTGGCTACTTTCTCACAGAACAGAATAGAGGGAAACTGCAGAGTAACCATCACTAGTGTTGCCGGACACAACATAGGACCAAACTGCATCACTACACTCCTTATACCCCCTGCGGGCTAGGAGCGCAAGAATTTACACGCGGTAAGGCATGCCTGTCGTAAGAGGCGACTAAAATCCAATAGTAACCGCAACAGTCGGTTCTTTATACCGGAACGACCCGGGTTTTTATCCGGCCAAGGACTGTCACTCCCGCAACATTCACCAAAAAGTACTTTGGGGAATAATTTTGCAGTTACAACAACAACAACAACAACTACACTCTATATAGTTTGAAGAAAATATCTCTAGTCATTTTGTCCCTTTGTCCATTGTCGAATAGAACAAATTTCTCCTCATTGTGGGTGTCTCAGAGGGGAATAGAGAGAAACTGCAGAGCGGTTAAGATTCGGTTAAACTAATTAACTCAGCGGGCCTCATTTAGACGATATTACGACCCTGTTGTTGCCAGACACCCCACGCACTACCAAACTGCATTACTAAACTCTTTATTGTGTCTCTAGATTCAAGAACGTTGCTGTACTTTTCGCAAGCTGAAGTTGTTATTTTGGTCCTTTGCTCATTGCAGATTGAAGGTCCTGTCGCCTACTTGCCATTGTCCGCCTAATGATGGAAACTTTTAGATTTCCTTGCGTCTACCATCGCCACACATTCTGTACATTTCCAGCACTTGTTGTTCTCTATCAGACCTATATTAAAGACCAGCGACGCCAAAAGGTATTGCCTTTTGCCCGTTAACAGTCCTACCAACTTTCCGGAATCACGTCTACTTAGCGCTTTGTTAGTTTGGTCGGTTTGTAAGTTGGGTTCATGGTATTCGCAATTCTGCAGCCCTTCGCTCGTTCCCTGAGTATATTCACCTGGCGAAGCAAGATGACTACTTGTATTTGCTTTACTTCCCTTAAGACTGTTCTAAAGGACACATTCTCTTTAGCTAGTTTGCCTACTATATCATAGCCTTCGATGCCCGGTTGATCTGGCATCCAGTAAATATAAAGCCGACTTTTTTCAAACAGTGTTTTTTATCTTTACATAGTTCAATCTCAGTGGACTTAGTGCCTTGTGAAATTAAGGCAATACAGGTCACTTGGCTATCCATATATGTAAATGTGTATTATCTTCTTTAGAAGACCTACATCCTGCACTACCCTTTTCCGCCTTTTTCATAACAAATACTTTGGTCTGGAAGATACTCCAATAACTGGTTGGTAGCTTAAATGATTTCCATATCTCTACTTGGACGCAGTTGTCAACTCGGCTATAATCACGTAAGCGGTACCTACGCAAGTAAGGAAGAAGATGAGTTGGGTGCAGTAAGCTGTAGTCCCCACTCCTTGGTTCATTTTAGAACCATCTGCAGAAAAATTAAGAGCTTTATCTACATATCTAAGATCTTTGCTCCAGTCATTTTTACTCAATTGTAGCCGACAACAGCTTTCCGAAAATCAGGCGGGGGTTAAGGTAGTCTACTCGTACATTTAGGGATAACGCTATACTACTGAGCCCTTATGTGGGAATTTTCAGCTACCTGAAACCGTAAAGACACGCGGTACTTATGAATACGCTGCTTCTAGCTACCAGAGATCAATCAAACTTGCAAAGTAAAGATAATTGTGATCCTGACGGAATGGTATATAAAAACACTAAGAGTCCCTTTCAGAAAAGCAGCAGGAACCACATTAACCTGCAGTAGTTTCCTAAATAAGAACCTATCAACGCAACCTGGCACGCAGCATATAGCACATATATAATATGTAAACACATACGAGGGGCGGATGAGTTCTTTGCGGCCTAAGGTAGTTAGAGATGACAAATCATCTTGTTACTGATACTGATAATACTAATTGAGAGCTCCATTATTAGTATAAATAAGACAATTTTTTTTATTAGTTTCATTAACATTTCGTTTCTGGAACAAGCAACAACACTATGAAACTGGAAATTCACGCAATACGTAGCACCGCGCTGTGATTAACAAGGAAGAGAGACCTGTGAGGATGATCCCGCTCGTGATAGAAGAAACTCTTGTTCAGAAAGCCCAAAAATTAGTACTAGCTGATGGAAGAATCAAATTGTGGCAGATAGCAGAAGAATTACAGATTAGCAAAGAACGGTCTGAGAGCTTTGGCATGAACATTTGAATACGAAAAAATTAGTGCGCGTTGGATACCACGAATGCTTGATAAGCAACGACAATTGGAAAGTTGTAAAGTTTTTTTTGGAGTTGTGTCAATATGATTTGGAGGAAATTTGCAACCGTATTGTAACAGTTGATGAAACTTTGATACGTCAGTATAATCCCGAGTCCAAACAGGAATGGATGCAGTGGATAAAAAAGATGAAAGAAATTCAAAGTGGAAAAGTCGGCATGTTAAATTATGGCTACCATTTTCTGAGATAGCGAGGGAATACTATTAATTGATTACTTGTCAAAGCGAGCTACAATGAAGGACGTTAATTTCTTGAGTCAGGCGCGCGGAGAGTACTTTCTTCAATACAATGCATCCGTTCACCCTGCTTGGGTGGCGAGGGTTGCCTTAAAAGCTACTGAATTTAGAAATTGACCATCCACCCTACTGCCCTGACCTGGCTCCACATTTAAAAAGGAATTACGGGCATGAAGATTTTCAGACTACACTGAGCTGAAAGCGGTCGTAGAAAACCATTTTGAAGAGAAAGCTAAAAATATTTTTTCAGTGGTGTAAAGGCAATTTCATTCACGATATGGGGATTGAAGGAGATTATATTGAAAAGTAAAAAACATAAAACTAATTTGTCTCATTAAGTACTTTAGGCCGCGAACTTATCAGCCGCCACTCGTACATACTCATACTCATATGTAGTTTGCAACAAGCTGTCCCTATTTTTATGCTCCTCACCCTAATAAAGTTATTTTTGGGTACCCAAGTGAAGCAAACGAAATTTGTGGAAGAACAAATGAAATCACGCAAACACACATAATTACCAGTATGTAAATATACATATATATATATATAGTGTATAGCGAAATTTTGTTGTGACGTCACCGTAAAATTAGATTATTGGCAGCACTCAAAGTGGTTAAGGTACAGTGGTAGCGTTAAAAAAACGTCACTACTACCGCCAAAATATACTTGTATATATGTATGTACATGTTTGTATGTATATACACATATGCAGGTATATAAACTCCTACACTTAAGCCCGTATATTAGTCTTTTAATCCACCAAATGGCATGCGGCCTACGCTATCGACGTCATTAGCTTAGAAATTCGCCAAAACGCATTGCGAGGGTGGGTGATTGTCGGAAATGAAGAGTGTCTGATTGATGCCGCCCATCAACGCGAACATTGTGCCAAAGTGTTCTTAAGTATACTTGCGGTGTTATTTCCAAAATCCTTTGTTTGTTTGTAGCCTTGGCTGGCGCTAGGTGTGCAAATAAAAGTTTTGATATCAGCGACAGCGAAGGTGTATTTTTATTATTATTGCATAAATATTATATATACAATTTTCATGACGTGAGCCGGCTGCACGGGAATGTTGAGAGCTTAGAGAATTTCTTTAAATAATAATTAATTCAATATTTTTGACGAAAATCTCAATAAATAAGCTGGAGCTGATAGACTTTGACCGGTACGGCGGTATGGTTGTATTTTGTATCAATTGTTGGGCCTCTCACTTGTACTCCACGGTGTTGCTCTGCGGCTCTCTTGCGGCAGACGCTTGCAAATGGAAGACAGATGCCAAAAACCTGCAATGGGAGATTTCAGAAAGATTATTTCATGCTCCTCTCGTACCACCGCCAAAGTACCAATTCAAAAAGAGTTACACGAAAAGATGCCGCGACATGCTGAATATTCCAAGGCTGCAAAATTTCTGGTAGGAATGAAATTAATTTTAAAGAGAGAGGTTCAAAGCATTCTGGGTGTCAAAATGATGAAAAACTCAAACTTCAAAGCCGAAAAAGATGTAATAATGTCCTGCCAGTCGATAAAATGAAGTTTGAATAGCAATCACAAGTCTGCACAACTAGAGAGTAACCTCATTAGATCCTTACCAATATAGACCATCCAACAGTTGGGTTACAAAATTTCCAAGCTAAGCACTGCCCAAAACAAGACAATCTCATAAGAGATGGATGATCTTTTCTTCCTCCTCGTCATCTTTGTAGCTTTTGCAACATCTTCTATGAAGAGCGCATAGCTCTCCTCCTCCTACTGTCATTATATCAGAACTCTTATTACGAGTTATTTGGGCATGCCCTTCACATTTTAAGGTGTACATATGATAATAATCTTTTCTTATACCATGTCGGTCAGAATTTTCGGCAGGTTGAAGTTTCATTCCATCTTGAGGCGGCTAGCTAATATACATTCCTTGAAAAGCAGTATGCAAGCGACAAAAGGCATACCAATATGTTCTTTATGGAGGCGAAACTAGTTGGTTTTACTGTGCCCAGCAAGTTCATTCGCCTTACAGTTTCCCTCGACCTCAGTGTAACCAGGTACCCACGTTACAGGTAGTCTCGGCGACCGTTCAGCACTAATTTATTGAATGTCGCTACGTAAAAGTCGCTGAAAATGAAGTTATCCATATGTTTAAAGCTGGCTCCGTTTTGCTTTGCAATTTCCATGATATTAAATATCTACTCATAACAAAAAAACACCACCATGGCCAGGTAGCCTGAAAGAGAGTTCCATCGGTGGTTTCCCTACGAAGACACCTTCGCTGGCTCTCTGATCTAGCTTTGATCCGTCCGTGAATATTTTCAGTCCATCGCCTGGGGGTGTAGTAATTATCTACCCATTCTTCCCTGATGGGAGTTCGTGTTCAGAAGTAGCTATAAGTTAAAGCGGAGCTTTATTAAAAGCTGGCCATCACACAATTGCTCCATAAAGGAGCTTGGAACTTGCTACTGAAACGAAGATCCAACGCCAAATAGTGGGGATTAGACCCCAACAATTAAATTTTGGCCCTTTTGCGTGTTTAGAGAACAGCAGCAGGCTTCTCGTATCTTTGGACTTTATTATTTTTCTACCTTAACTTTTTGTCTAAGATGACATCTAGAAACTTGGGCTTCATCCTCAGGCTTAGTTGAATATCGTGCAGTACTGGTAGGCTTATAGCGGGGATCTGGTATCTCCTCATAAATAGTACTAGTTCCACTTTGCAGTTGATGATGAAATCCTTTAGGAAGGCAAGAATTCCTTATTATGGAGAGATTTTGCCACAAAAGGTACAAGTTGCATGAGTATTTTCAAAAAAGTCGTGAAGACGTTGAAGCTGAAAAACGCCCTGGTGAAGCCCTCGTGCATCAAAAACCTTGAGAAAAAGAATGAAATGATTGGGAACGATCGCCGCAACACAATTAAAGTAGCCGCTGAGAAGGTTGGGATCGTGCCAAAATAGAGGTTTCAAGCGTTTTGTATATGAAAAGATAGAAAGTAAAGTTTATTACAAATATGCTAAATTCTGAACAAAATCAGCGATGAATGGAAATTGCCTGAAAGTCACTCAACGAGGATTATAATGGTATAAACAGTTGACTCACCATGAGTTTACGTATTATATACGAAGTCATATCATAAGGTATAACCTACAGATCCAAGTCCCTTGATTGAAGCAAATCAAAAACAATAAACAGATTTGTGGAAAAGTGGCTAAGGGCTTTTGGATTACGATAATGCTCACACTACTACTTACTCGTCCATGAATTTGTGAACAAAATTGTACTGCACCGATGCTTCAGTCTCCATATTCACCGGTCATGGATCCGTGTGATTTTTTAAGGTAAAGTCTATCTAAAACATCGCGTTTGAGAAGTGTTTCGGAGTTTGGATAAATAATTTGGTTGAACAACCTAAAAATGAGTTAGATTTACGAAATTTTGTTTCCGAGCTCCTCCTTCAATTTCAATCTCAATGCTTTACCAACAAATAGAGGGACCTACAATTTACTCTGAGTGGCCTTTGAGCAGCCGATGGTTTTTTATGAGGTGCTCTTTTCACGTCAGAAACACTGTCGGTGAGGTTGATATGCCGAGGAGCGAACTTTTTGATCTAGTCCATGCCTCTCGGCACATTATAAGGTCATAAATATATAATAGTTTTGGTGGATTTGAAATGACTGAAAAAATACTGTCATAAGTTCACCTTATATGAACAGTAAGCTTTTTGTGAACTTTTACTCCGAATTAAAAAATTATCCATAGATATAAGCACAAGTAACTATATTCAATCAATTCAGCAAACTCCTTTGTTCCTCACCAATTTCTCTCGACAACAAGTAACTGCCTGGTATCCGCAGTTCGGTTCCACCCGAATTAGTCTTCTTCAACTCACTATTTTAGTTTATTATTTAGTTTTTCACTGCTGGGGTACTTATGGCAAAAGTTCGGTGTTACGTCACCGTGAAATAAGATTATTGCCAGCACTCAGACCCTCTTGGGTATAGTGGCGATATTAAAACAACAACGTCACTAAAGGCGCCATTATGATTTCATTTTGATTGTTTGATAAATACAAACATATACTTGTATGTTTACATATATACATATGTTACTATGCTAAAAATATACATATGCATGTATATGTATATATATATGTATTGTATATGTATATGTATATGTAGATGCACTCCTACATAAACGCCTCCATATTAGCCGCTTAAATAGAATTTTCGTCGACGTCATAAGCTTTGAAATTTCCCAAAAAGCATTGTGCGTGTGTGTGTGCTTGTGCGAAATGAAGACTGGCTGAGTGACACCGCTCATCGAATTCCAGCGGGCAATGTAGTCAAGTTTGCTTACTTCACTGGCGTTACGTGTGCCGATTTTTTTTTTTTGTTTTTTTGACGCCTTTGCTTTATTACAATACAAACACGCATACATAAATATAAAGAAATATATATTTACTCATACACGAGTACATACTTTTTGGTTGGAATCAGCTGTGTTAGAATTTTGTCGTGGTGGACGTGGAAGTAATGAACAACCTTAGGAAGTTCAAATCAATTTCTATAAATGAAATATAATTCATAATTATTGAATTATCACTTAGATCTATAGTATTGCCTTCCAAGGTATAGAGGGGCGCTTTCAACACATCTTACCAAGTGCAGATACACTGCTGCACTGTTGAGTTTGGGGGTCGGCACTGCTTAAGCACCAGTGCTAGCCGTTGGATCTATGTTTCAGTAGTAGGACCAAAGCTCCTTGACCGAGCAATTGTGTGGTGGCCAGCTTTAAATTAAACTTCAATACTAATAACATAGATAATATTCAAAGATGAGCGTTAATGTGTATCAGTGGGACACTAAGGAGCATGCCTAGTGAAGCTCTCTATGTAATACTCAATATCTAGTCACTGAACTTGCGCAGCAGCAATGACTGCACTTCGTTTAAGAGAGTCAAATAAAAGGATCACCCAGCCAAGGGTCTGATAACTACTTCAGAGCACGAACTCCCAGCGTTAAAGAATGGTTAGATAATTACCACACTCCAGGTGTTAGGCTGAAAATATACACGGACGGATCATATCTTGAGGAGAGAGCCGGTGGGGTGTCTTCTCAGGGAACTCTCCGATGAAACTCTCTTTCAGGCGCACATATCATTGCAGCAGTTTTCAAGCGGAGATATCTGCTATAATAGAGGCTGCAAAAGTAAATCGGTGCCACCTTTACAGATATAGATAACTTAATTTTTAGCTATAGTTAGGCAGCAATAAAATCACTTGTCTCGCTTATACTAAATTCCAAATTATTGTTGCACTGTCGCCGATCTCTATAGGAGATGATAAGACAGTTCAGACTGTCGCTGATGTGAGTCTCTGATGGCAGGAACGCCGGTGGAAACTTCAAAGCAGATGAAACTTACTAAGCTAGGAATGACTAAGTAGATTCTTCTCGATAAAAATAATACGAATGATCGCTTGCAAGCTGCTTCTGAAGGAATGTACAAATGAACAAACTGCGTCAAGGTGGAATGTAACAACAACCAACCCTGACCAAAACGGATTAAGAATAGATCACGAGATATGTACTTCTTAAATAGAGGGGGCATGTCTAAAGTTATAGGAGTTCTGGCACTGGCTACTGTTTGATAGGACGATACGCGTAGAGACTAGGGGCTTCCTATAGGAGATGTCGCAGAAGCTGCAAGGAGAGTGAAGAGGAGGAAACGAGTATCCAATCTTATGCAACTGTGTTGCTTTAAGCATAGCTAGGTTTCAGATGTTTGTAACCCTACATGGCTGAAGCGATTTTCGGCCGTGGTCGTGGTGATGGGAGGAGATCTGCCAAAAATCGCTTCAGCGCTTACATAGCGTCAATTAAGATATACAATATTAGAGAAATATATACATTGCTGCTTCTATATATATAAAGATTTTATGAATGTACATACGTATGTCTTCTTTCTTTTGTGTGCTGAAACTTCTGCATGCCTCATAAGATTTCACGGAATAATAAAAAATTCATAAGCACTTTTCAATTCTAAATGGGATTCGCAGTACGATATTTATATTTTTTCCTACATATATATATGTTTGTATATTCAAATATGTAAGATATTTTTAATTTATGTACTCAATCGGCTACCTTAACAAAAGCCTTCACAGAAATAATCCATTGGTTGTAGGCAGCGAACCCCAACTGCACCATATAATCACCTTTGGGATATGGAAGTAACTTCAGTACATCATCGGGCATAACGAAATTCTTCAAAATTATGTCATGCTGGCAAGAAAAATTAAAGAGATTTATAATTATTGAATCATTTTTTAATTTAGTATTTTTGTTTATTGCCTTTTCATATATATATTTTTTTCTCATTTAACTTACGTCATATGGGCAGGTGTGATTCAAATTACTATTTCGTTCCAAATATTTAAAGAACATAGACATGACGGGTTGACGTTGGGGAAAACGTTTCAAATCGCAGAAGTCCAAGGTGAATTTGTAAATAAATGGCGTGTAACCGTTAGTTTTGCGAAATAGTTCGGCTTTCACCTGAAAATTTTTGATAATTTAAAATTTGAAAAATTAAATAAAAATCAATTACGTTTTTTTTCTTAATAACAAAATATGAATTTTTTAAATTAAATGCCCTATTTTGGAAAAACAATGTAAACAAGTTAAATCGTTAACAGACAATGTTAAAAAGTTAACAGACACTGTTAAATAGTTAACAGATAATGTTAATATGTTGGTAGGCAATGTTTAATCGTTAACAGACGATGTTAAAAGTTAACACACAATGTTAAAAGTTAACATACAATGTTAAGTCGGTAACAGACAATGTTAAAACGTTAAATGACAATGTTAAAAAGTTAATAGACAATGTTAAATCTTTAACAGACAATGTTAAATCGTTAACAGACAATGTTAAATCGTTAACAGACAATGTTAAAAAGTTAACAGACAATGTTGAAAAGTTAACAGACAATGTCAAACTGTTGACAGACAATGTTAAATCTTTAACAGACAATGTTAAATCGTTAACAGACAATGTTAAATCGGTAACAGACAATGTTAAAACTTTAACAGACAATGTTAAAAAGTTAACAGACAATGTTGAAAAGTTAACAGACAAAGTTAAAACGTTAACAGACAATGTTAAATCGTTAACAGACAATGTTTAAACGTTAACAGATAATGTTAAAAAGTTAACAGGCAATGTTGAAAAGTTAACAGACAATGTTAAATCGCTAACAGAGAGTGTTAAAACGTTAACAGAAAAAGTTAAAACGTTAACAGACAATGTTAAAAAGTTAACAGTAAGTATTAAAATTTAACTTTTCTGTTAACATCATAGCAGGCAGCCATTTTAGTGTTAACGTTAATGCTGCGCTTGTGCTGTTTCAACAATTTCATTTCGTTCAATTTAATTTCTAAATTTATTTCTCATATTGACAAAACAAAATGGCATCGTTTCGTTAGTTGAGCACCACTCTTGTCAAAATTTAGTAATTAAAAACAAACAAAAAAATACATAAAATGAACTCAGAAAATGCAACAAAAAAAAAACGAATTGTTGAAATAATTTATTACACATACCGTTATATTGTCAGCTGTTTTAAGCAATTTCCCATATATATTCAATTCATTAAATCCGCGTTTTTGTAATTTCAAATCACATTGTGAAAATTGAAAATACTTTTCATCATTCGACTGACATTGAATATTATTGAATGAAATGTGATTGGCCAGCACAAGCGAATTTCGGAAAATACCATCCGTACTTAGCGCTCCAATGTAAAGAATGATCACAATATGCCAGCGAACTATTTTCCAACACATGTTTATTTCGAATGAGACATTAAAATATTATTTTAACATTATTGTAAATTCTAATATTTATGTACATACATACTAGTGTTTATTTTAATTGTGTCTAACTATTTAGAAAATGCCATTAGATAATTAAATATCGATTTTGTGATATCGTGCTCGTGTAATAAATTGCATAAGATTGATTTGCCAGTGTAACGTAGTATTTATTTATTATACATACATATACATATAAAGAGTTTTTTAAAAGGTCATTGTAACGGAAAAAATAGTATTAAATACCAGAAGGTTTTTCATATTAGGGTACATCTCAACTGAATTTTGTCCGTGCTCTTTTTGTGGTTGAGAAGGCAACTCGTCAATTTATCTACTCGCACTTGAGTGCGTTGAACGGGACAAGCACGGTGACGAGTAAATTCTTCTGACATTTATTACAGTGGCCATATGAAGAGAACGATGTGAACATGGGTACTTATGACCGCTACCAGCCTTGCTACGATCGACTTCGCCGGAGGCCCGAAATATGTTACTCTGTGATACTAGATTACACCAAAAGAAAATTCATCAAGTTGAAAATCACAATCCAAATCGATTAATCGATTGTGATAACCGTACGATATTTCTCCAGAGATATAGACTTTTGTACGCTTCGAGAACCTAAAATTATTCTCGGAATACTCCTTTGCAGCAGCAAAAATATGCACCCGCCTCGGTGGAGCAAACAATGCCCGCCAACAAACACAATGAAGATTCGACGTCGAAAAATTGCAATCACAACAAACAGCCGCATGGTGGTCTATTCGACATACAGCCCCTGCTCTCTGGAAGCACTTATCAGCAACTCGGTATAAGGGAACTATGCAGCGGCTATTCAAGATCCCTACGTACGGTTGCAAACGGAACCTTTTTTTTTATTAACCATTATATCTGAAGAAAAACTGATACAAGGCGGGTCGTCAGGGGAGAGAAAATATGCTGCCTATCACGCAACTTTGAGATCTAAACTAAACAAGCTGAGTTGGATAGCTACCGCCAAGAGGGAAACAAGACACATGCGTAGGCAAAGAAAGAAAGAAATGTCCAAATGTCCGACTATGAAGCGGCACGTCAAAGGTACCCGATACTCGAAAACTCCATGAAACGATAAGGAGGAGCAAAAATTTGTAAGAGCTAGAGAGGTGATCTAATGACTTACGCCCACAGTACATTGAATTTAAGAAGAGCGAGAGAAAGAGGATTTGTTCAGCCAGCTGAATGGAAGTAAAAACAGAAAACCAGGTGGTGCCATACCTGATGCCTGAACCAGTGACCATGGAACAGATGTTCCGTTGTCCGAATATGAAGAAGTTTGAACTACGATAGCCCGCGAAAAAAAAACTAAAAAACGATTAGGCGATACACACCATCTCCTCGTTGATTTCAAGGCAGCCCCCGACAACCTGAAAGTATCGGGAAAGATCTCTGCGAGTCATTCGGTACTAAACGAGTTTTCAGACAAGTTAACTGCTTATCGTTTGACTTCTTCAGTTTTTTTTTTGTTGAGGAAATAATACGAGCTGCAGAGCTGAAAAGAGAAAGTACAATCTATAAATTCTATAAGTGAGTTCTGCTTTCTCCAAACTAGAAAGGGAAGCGAACCGTATGGATCCAGTTGTGAACAAGAGTAAGATGAAATATATCCTGCTGTCAAATAAATAGTCATCGCATTCCCGACTCGGCTTATTTGAGCTTACATCTTCAATGACTGGCCCTTTCGCAGCAGCGATTGGAGTATTTCTTGTGAGGTGTCATTGAGGAGATGACTCAAGACTTGAAACACGAAATTAAAGTCGCCATTGCAGCCATTGAGGGCCACATAAACGAAAATTCGTAGGAATGTTAGATCGATAGACAGAATAAAATGGGTGACTGCGAGGTCAGCCGCGGTAGCTATATGAATGAAGTGGTAAGCCATCATCAAGCGGCGTTTCATGAAGTGAAATGGCATGCCTCGGAGCTTGCGTCAAAAGTCGTTTACTTATGAAACCAACCACAAATTATTATATTTTAATTATAATTCTGATTAAAAATATTATTTTTTTACCTGTGTTCATTCACTTAAATACTTCTACTTAAATCCACTGATACAAATATCTCTGTCTTGTTTGGGAAATCAATTTATATCACTCAATAAAAAAAAAAAAATCTATAGTACAAAGTAAGTTCCACGGAAAACTATACTAACCGCTGATGGGATTTTTGGCCGACCTACCCCTCCAATTCGTTTTGTGCGTCTCAATGTTCCCTACAAAAGAAGGGATCTGCAGTTTATTTTTAACCGCTTCCGATGACTGATCCTCTGCACATTGTATGGGTAAAGCATTCTTCCCTGTGACAAACAACAAACTCTTGTATATTTTGTTAACTGCGGACCACTACTGATGGTATGAACCATGTATAGGGTTTAGGCTAGGCAGAAGTGGCTCTTAGGATCAGTCGGGCAAACGCAACACAGTACATCAATGAGTGTTGGGATGGCTTCAGATTTTCTTTTAAATAAACACGGTGCGATCTGGAAAAATGCCTAGTCTTGTCTCATCGGACAATGTCCAGTCAAAACTCTCACACTAAGTGAGTAAGAAGCATCTTGCGACCGTGCATGTTGGTTTAATACCCAACCAGTCTAGAATCAGATCTCAAGTTGACATAGGAGGGACCATCTCCGTTTTATCTGACATTAAAGGGACTTGTTGCTCATATGTGCAAGCTCATCTCATTAGCAGTGCAGCTTGCAGCTTCTCCGCTTTGGCCTGTTAACCACGCTATGGACAAAGATAAAAACAATTCACTTTCACAAATTTACAGTTCATCTAGAGTAAGCCCAAGATTGTAATAGCTGATTGACTATCTATGTAAATGTTGCCTCGTCTCAAAGAAGCAGTGTATCCATCGCCTCCATTCAACTAAAAGCATGGCCTGACCTGGAATCATAAATCTTCCATAGTAATTCTTAACGGAAGAATCCCGCACTGAACCTTCCGTCAAACTTGACCCATCCGCAATGAAGTTAAGTTTTCTATTTCTTCAGTTACTCTCTGCCTTCCAGTACTCGCTTTAAGGAATTATCGTAGAAAAGGAGCGACTCAGCATTAGCTGGGAGATGATACGAGTACTCGCATATGCCAAGTAACTGCAGAAGATTTCTAGCCACTCAAAGGCAGCAGAGTACCGCACGTTTGAGCCAACCAATAACCCAGACTTCTTGAGTCTTACAACGACTTTTGCAGCGATGGACCTGAGTGGGGTGGACTGGGGTATAGTCAAGCTTCTGGGAAGGCAGTAACTGCGCCAAGTTATGCTTAATTTCCTTTCCTTCCGTTCGCGTTGCGTACCCTGGAAGCGTGAGAAGTCTAATTACAGCGTCTGTTCACCAGAGGTGTGGCTGCGAGTGGATGCCGGTCTTGAAGCAAAATGCTCGTTACATAAATGTGAACAACATTTAAACGTACTCACCTAGCGAGCTTGGCGCTGAGTTCGGGACCCGCCACGATTGAGGTGTGACAATAAAGTAATGAGACTGATTATATTGCTGCGATTGTGGTAGCCCTGCCACCTTGAAATTCCCTTTCCTTTCTCCCGGCATCCTTCTCCTCTCCATTGATATATTTGCCATCGCTCTAGCTTGTTTAGTTCGC